CCAGTTTCCGAATAGAAAGGTTACTCCCATGTCGTGGCCCCGGTGCATCATCTTGTCCGTCTCCGCCTTACAGCGGGGGGCACTCGAGCTCGTTGATCTCCATGCCGCTTGATCTTGGAGTTAGACCATCTGCTCTATGGAGAAACTAGGGGTTGAATAAGCCTACTTTAACTTCGTTTCGTTGGATTTGGACGTGTAAGAGTGCCTTGTTGTCATATCCATGGATGGCTCCCTTGATCTCAGTAAGCAGCCGTTTCCGTGTATTTACATCCTGAAGCCAGATCCGACACTCCGCCGCGTTCGCTTCGGGCTTGTTTCGGGCCAATGAACTTACATCTCGGCTAGCGGAATCAAAATTGTAGATCTAATTGCGTCAATACAAGCTCCGCTTATTTACCAATGCAACCGTACCTTTCCTTGCAACGTCCGCCAGCGTGACAGCGTTCATATGCCGAACATGACCAGGATCATACACTTGCGTGAGCTTCCAAATATTGACTGTAAATAAGTCTCATCGCGCATTTAAAGAACTTGGACGCTTGGATACGAGAAGAAAGCATCCGACGGAGGGTGCTAACGGCCTGGGTGTCCTGTGGGACTTACGCACGAATCCCTCAAACAAAGGTAGAACAGCCCGGGCGAAAGCGCGCGTTCTGAAATTGATATTCACAACAACAGAAGTTTCTCTATGGTAAACAAAGTCAGGAGCTGAACGGCAGACAGCATGTATGCCAAGGCCCAGACTTGAGGTTACGATCAAGGACTGGGACAAAGACATGAGTTTATCAATAACCGAAGGTGCCGAAGAACTAGGAATCATTATCAAGGCCACACCATCTGGTTTGACACCTTTGGAAGATGGATTAGTTAGTGACAGAGTAATACTGGTAGAGCTATCAATAGCTCTTCGGTGGGTATGCGGTGTTCTCGTAAGCGTTTGCGTAATGACAACGTCTTCAGACTAACGACCCCTAAGATCCTTTGCATCGTCTGTTACTTCGTCAGCTCATGACTAGGACGCCAACTCGCTATCTATCGAACCAATGCTTCGTTTCAATCAAAACTTTTCTTTTGAAGCCTCAACGGTGCTGACTTTTGTCAAGGTTCTTATACAACACGGGCAAACGATCTATCCAGGTGACTTGCCCACTTTCGGCTTCGGAGATAGCATCGTCAACCTGATATAAAGTTCCTACATGGATTCGCCTTTGAACACCTTATGAACGTTTTCCATGTCCTGCATTTTACACTCGAGGTGTGTCCCTCGGTAAACTCTACCCTTGCTCTATCAAAGTCGCCCTTTCCACTTTTCCAAGCCATATGGCGCGTCTCGAGGATCTCCCGTACGAGCTTTGGTTGATCATTATGAAAGGACTAGATCCTTTGTCGACCATCCATTTCGCTCAAGTGTGCCCACGAGGCTATGCAGTGCTGTGCGGATTACCCCAGAAACAGCGATATGATGAAATCGCACGAAAGATTGGCCACAAGAACATGGGTCTTATTCAGGCCCAAGATGCATGCGAAGATACCGTCGGTAGATCATTCAAATACACAGGAAAAGAAACACGCGACGAACGCGACGAACGCGACGAACGCGACGAAAGCATTCAGCTGGCATTATCACAATTGAGGTCGTGTATCGCCGGGGGGGTTCCACGCCACGGCAAAGGATGGTTACTGGCCTACTTGGAGGACTCAAAGAAGGTGGACAATTTCAATGCCACTATCACGGGGTGCAACTCCTTCATTAAACTTGTAGATCGGCGACTACTTGCGTTAGGGAAGCAATCTGTTCCGTGTGCACTTCGGAAAAGATTTCTTGTTGCCCTGGTGGTTTTGAGAAGCCTCAACGTCGCTCAATGTGAGCTAATGGCCCAGCTAACCGAAGAGTTTGGTATCTGGGCATGCGAAGGGTTCAAGTACCTGGTCTACGCTTATCCGAGTCGGCAAGCTGCCTTGACGCAACTTTTTCGCTTCATGGGTCTCCGGTATGGTCACCTTACGTCCGAAGAATACTGTCTTCCATGTTCCAGTCTCATGAACGGTGCCGGTGAGCCGGCTATGGACGCAAACTGAGACTGCGCGCAGTTCAATCTTCTCTGGTGTGGTCCCCAGCAGACAGGTTTACAGTGGGATCCGCTTATGTTCACCTCGCCGACCTTGTCCCCCATCGACTTTCTACCTCTAAGCTTTTCTGCAAGACGATCGGCAAACTTGGAAAATAGGACGGTCTTTTATCTTTCCATGTTGGAGCAGCTGCGATAACCATGCGGTGACATATACTGTCCAAATTGTAACGGGATCGTGGAGGAGGGTTAGGGACGGACAGCAATGAACAGACAAAATATGAATCACTGCCTCGTACTCGCAATGAATGGATTTCTTCCTACATACAAGTAGCAGACACGGATGTGTTCAACTCCAACCACTTATCTTCAGGCAGCTGCAGGACAAGTCGTGATGGTGTAGGAGAAACGCGTTCTCCAGACGCGCACGAGCAGAATTCCTTGTTAAAATGGTTGTCGCTCGTTTCACAGCCGAGAGCTGGGAACGTACAGCCTGGCTTCTCAATACCGTGGGCAGCGCGTTAATCTAAGAAAACGTCTGCGAGATAAACTTAGCTGTGATCATCGATACACAACTGCTCCATACAATTGCAGCATGGCTTGCCCCTCTCTTTCAAGCAAGAGCACCTGTCGCAAACCTCGTGGAGGTTGAATTCTCGCAAAGCTTCCTTCCCTTGTTCCGTATTGTAGAGAAAGTCCACGCAGGCGTCACATCGCATCTTCCAGAATGTAGAAGGGTTGGTCTTCCAGAGCATATGCTGCTTGTCGGGGAACTTGTGACGCGGCTTGACAGTAAAGCAGGCATAGCACGCAAACCTCGGGATGGAGGAAGGATCGAAATCAGCGTCTACGCGAAACCAGTCGACTCCGGGTTCCCGCCGCCTGACGAATTGAAAGCGCTTGTGAAGAGGTACCCACTTTGACTTTATGGTGTTATTCATATAACGATTGGTCTGAAGAAGGTGTATCGCGTCGATCATGTCGATGTTTTGGACAACCAACTCGAGCACGTCGGCGGGAAGTCTTTGGATAGGCGGACAGGAAGAGTTGGAGGCATCGGTACAGACCGTGGACTCTATGACTTCACCAGGAACTCTTGCTGACTGGTCGATCTCCTCCGTGGACTTCGTTACGTCTGGTTTGCCGGTTGTCGTAAGCGGGTAGACTTCATGTTGGAGACGGCATCGCATCGATTCAGTTTGCATACGACCACATTTGTGGCAGAGACAGAAGAACTCTCCATCTTTTCTGACTGGTTGAAGGTGCTCATATAGCCTTCCTTCGATGGCGCATGTCCAACATCGCCGCAGGCCCAAGCGGCTCATCTTGGCTCCCCTCTTGTCTTGCTTGCTCTTGCGCATTCGGTCTCCAAAGGCCTCTTTCGGGAGAAATTGCTGACAGCCAAAGCATGCCCATTTTTTGGTCTTGCCAACATAGAGACCCAGGTCAACTTCTCCGATGAACCTGTTCTGGACCGACCGGGGCAACAGGGTTCTGGGGTTGAGGTTTTGGTGGAAGAACTTGTTGGTGACGGACATTCTCAGGACGTCTCGGTATTGAAGGTGGGAGGATATGAGGCAATGAATATCGTGTGGCAAGTCCTGAAGTTGGCAGGACGGAGCTTCGTTATTGCAGCCGTCGTCGAGGTCCTTCCCTTCCGCTTCCATTCGTCGATACACATCTATCGATGGGTTGGATACAATACCTACCATGATGACAATTGTTGGAAATGACCTGATTCGATATTCTTGCTGTCTTCGTTTCTGGGAGACACCGGGTTCTGTCGATCTACCAATGGCGCATCCAGATACTAAGATGTCGAGGACTCAAGGGCGTTGTGCAGCAGCCATCCGAACAACAATTGCTAAATCTTTGGCTGCCAGTAGTCCTATGTATTTTGATGCAGGTTGATTTCAACTCAAATATGACTAGAACCTTCCATGAGTCAAATCTTACGCGCCCTGGCATGCACATCTCGGCACTGCACCAACTCCCCTCGCTTCTGCCTATTCGTCCCACCTTTCTTGACCGTTCTCATTTGAGGAGAGCGGCCGGGCGTCGGGCGAAGTCTGAATGCAATGTCCATTTGAGGTGCAAGTCAATTGGCTAAAAATACGGTTCCTCCTCTGAATCAGTCATCCAAGAAGGGGCACATCAAACTACCGACCGCACGACCGACGAATCAGCCCCACCCGGCGCCGGCAACCGATCAAGAGCGGGCCCAACTGTTCCGGCAAGACTCCCGAGGCTCTCGGTCCCTCGGAGCTCTGACCTCGTTCCTTTCTTTTGCTGTCAATCCCTCACAAACACGTCCCGGGATGCAACGCTGAATTGAATACCCCAAGCCTCGGCAGCCCCTGACGGCGCATTGCGGGGTCACGGCCTCCCACCTTCCCCGTAAACCAGATTTCCCCAAAACAGTCGACACCAATATCTCCTTCCTTTTCAAACCTAGACATATACCACCAATCGTCTGTCATAAGTAATCTATCCTTCGCAAAGCCAAGAATCAGCCGCCAGCCTCAACTACCGACCACCGTTGCCGACAATCAGGGACGGGTGGCACCCACCAGCAAATCGCAACGTTCGCCCTAAATAGCCGTGCAGCCACTGGGATGCTATACAACGCCAACTTTGATGTGCCCCTCTTCATTTGCGTCCGAATCCGCGTACTGTGTATCCTCGTCTTGGAAAGTGACGATGGCCGAATATCAGGGCACATCTAGACCTTCCAATCTCGTTTCTTCAGTTGAGCCGAGGCCGGTGATTTGGCTAATTCGGCGTTGATCCTCCGTGACAACTTGGCAAATCTTCAAGGAGAATACTCGTCTATAAAAGACTCCTGACTATCCTTCGTACTGGAGAGTACAAGCAGGCACTGCCAGTAGAGTCAAACATCTAAGCAAACGCCGAATTCACACAATTCACGCAATGCTGTCCTCCGCCGTGCTCTTCGCCTCCTTCATGGGCGCAACCAATGCAGCCCTTCAGCGCGTCACAGACTTCGGCTCCAATCCAACTGGCCTAACGATGGATATATCCGTACCACCGAACCTGTCCTCTTCGCCTGGCATCGTTCTCGCACTCCACGGTTGCGGCGGCTCGGGCTCGGCCTACTCCCGTCAAGCCGAATACATCCCTCTGTCTGACTCAAAGGGAACTTTCGTCGTGATCTACCCCTCCTCCACCAAAGACTTCAACTGCTGGGACGTTGCATCGACCAAGAGCCTCACTCGCGATGGCGGCGGCGACTCGAACGGCCTGGCCAACATGATCCGCTACACCATCAGCAAGTACTCCGCCGACCCCACAAAGGTCTTCGTGACGGGAAGCTCGTCGGGCTGCATGATGACAAACGTCCTGTCGGCCACGTACCCGGATCTCTTCGCCGCGGCGTCTTGCTACTCCGGTGTTGCGGCTGGGTGCCTTGCTGGTTCTCCTGGATCAAGCCCCATCAGCGCCGACCCGCGTTGCGCAAACGGGCAGATCATCAAGACGGGCGCGGAGTGGGCTGCTCAGGTACGCGCCATGTATCCCGGGTACAACGGTAGCTACCCGCGTATGCAAACGTTCCACGGCACGGCTGATACTCTGGTGACGTACCCCAATCTGGCGGAGCAGCTGAAAGAGTGGTCTACAATACACGGAGTGAGCTTTACCAAGAACAATACGAACACACCTCTGAGCGGATATACGCAGATTGTCTATGGAGACGGGACCAAGCTTGTAGGAATTTCTGCCCAGGGTGTTGGGCACACTGTACCTGTACAAGAAGATCAGGATCTAAAGTGGTTTGGCTTATGAACAGCGCGTTGGTAGATTTGGATGAAGATTGGTACACATTAGTCTGCTTTTCTTGAAATGCATGACAATACGAACAGCATTTACAGCAAGTAGTAGGAATGCAAGAACTCTGCCTTGAATGGCAGCCGCTATCAATACAGAAATGGGATGCTTGGCCGATAGCGGTTAGAACATCTCCCGGAAATGGTAGAAGACATTGTCAACATAAGGGTTCGGCATGCCAGTTGTCGTTGGGGTCAACTCCGCGCTGGATACTCCTCCAAAGCTGTCATCCCCTGTAGAGTAGCCGTTTAGTCCCATATAGCCTTCAAAGATCCTGCTCATCTCGGTTTGGATACGCGTCCCGTTGCTTGGTGATGGAATGCCATCCATGTTGGACGTTGCCTGCGGTTGTGGCATCGCAGGTGCCGCCGATGCCATTGAGCGGCCATATGGTGCGATTGGTCCTGGGTCTGTTGACAGGCGGCCGGTCGCAAGCCCAGCCATAGCGAGCGCTGCAGAATTATGCGGGTCTTCGTCAGCCTGATTGCGGAGGCCGATACTTGGGGCGACTTCTTTGAGAGAAGAAATGGTGCGCCACAGACGCTGGGATACCCAACTCTTCGCAGATAGATCCTTGACGAGTTCTAGAGCCATATAAAACTCTTCACGGACACTGGCACTAAACTTGACCGGGGCGTGAACGGCAGCCAGGAAGAGGACAGAGATGGCCGAGGTAAGAAATTGATGGTAGAAAACCTGGATTTTGCGGTACATATTTGTGGTGTTGTTTAGATGGTTGAGTAATCGAATCGTATCTTTCGCCAAGTCAACAACGCGTTGGGCCTGGACAGTGTGGCCCATGATGCTAGTAGCGCTATGCAAGATCGGGGTGTAAAGCCAAGTGCGGATCTGAAGTTAGGTCAGTCATCACCCGTCAGCAGCGAGTCTTTCAGAGCAAACATACCTGGTTGAATCGAAGATAGGTCCAAACCCGAAGCCTTTGCAGATTGTAAGACGGGGTCATTGTCAACTTCTTGTCCTTGTCCCAGTTGCGCATCCTAACCTCCTCAGGCACAGTCTCGTACCAGGACAGAATTTCCTGGTCCAACCGCTCCATGTCCTCATGGTGGAGTTCTCGGGCAAGAACAGGGCCAAAATGTGCCACTTGACGCCAAACCTTGGCACCCAGTCTTGAATAGGTGACCATGGCAGCCAGAAACGGAAATTGCTCCTGATAAACATTAGTTCATGCGTCATTCTGGGGTACAAGACAACTTACAGGCAGCGGCAAGTCCGGATCGATTTCCTCGTCCGGGACAACAAATGGCAGACCCGTTGCGAAAGCCCACCTTCTGTCGAGAACGTAGGCCGACCAAAAACTGCTGAGGGCAGTCTTTCGCTCTTCCTCATCCTTGATAGCCATGAGGCCTTGTTGGCGATGAATGCCCATCTCCAAACACAGTCTGGTAACTTGACCCATGACGCGCCATGCTGCGATCTCTTCGTTGGCCAAGAACTTGTAGCCGGCGAGCAGACAGAGCGCTGGCAGGCTGGTGAAGTCGACAGGATCCACCATCAGCTTGCGGTTGACAACGGCGTCCATGCTGTCGATCAGCTTGATGGCCTTTTCGCTGTGTCCGTGCTCCTCCACCACGAGAGCACAACACATGACAATCTTGAGCTGAAGAGTCTTGTCATCATTGATCAGCGGCATGGCGCCTTGCTTCCTTGCCGACTCCATGTAAGACCAAAGGTTGCGAACATGCTCGATGACAGACGGAATGTTGATGACAGGGTACATGATGCCAACCTCCTCCTCGTGAAGACGACACAAACGAATCATCTCATCCTGGGTGAAGTTCCATAAGGGATCAGTGGGGTTCTCCTGGGGTCCAAGGCGAAAAGGGCTGTCCTCGGGCATGGCAAACGGAGCATTCTGGTCCTCGGAATCCCCGATGCCTTTGTAGCCCATGTTGTGGATGGTGTTGTTTGCAACGTCCATGTTGAAGGCCATGCTGGTAGGGCCACGGAAGGGTGCCTGCTTTGGTTTGGTCAACTCGGGCCGGTGGACGGAAGACAGCGAGCTGGCTGGTGACGCCTGGACGGTGCTCGAAGGGAAAGGTAATACTTTGTCTTGGATGGGCGCAAGACGCAGCGTTTCGGAACGGAGGGCATTCATGCTTTGGTAGAGATTGTCAACCTGCTCCTGTAGCCGGACCATCTGAGTCGTCATGCTCTTGAACTCATCCGAGTCCTTGAAGTTGTTGGAGCAACAGTTGGGGGCGTACAGGCACGCCAAGTTGAGGTTGCCACATCTTTGGCAAGGAGTTTCGCCATTGCACTTGATTTTGCGTCTCTTGCATTCGTTGCTGCGAGGGGAGGAAGCGTGTTAGTTATTCGGAGTTCGTGCCATGACCCATCGAGATAATCGCCGTGTAGACTAGGTATAAGTAGAGCTAGGCGGTCGCATTGCGCCGACGGATTGCTCCAGCGATGGATGATTCCGGCAACGATATGGCACTCGAGAGGTACGAAGAAACTGGAGGAAACCTTACCAGGCTATCGAAATATACTGTCACAACCGCAATCAGCGTCCCGAAGTTCCACAAAGTTTACAGAAGGGGGGTGGGCATGGCACGGGGAGGGAGAGAGTGTGTACGAGAGGACGTGACGGGAAGAGTCCGCGTCGGTCTGGAGGGGACGTGGGTGGAGGCATGGCAGACGACAAACAGCCGACCATGCGCACCAACTCCAAGAGGACGGCAACAAGATGGAAAGACAACGCACCCTATTCCGTTTGCTTCGCTGCTGCTTGGCTGCAGCACCTTCGTCTTCAGACTTTCTTTTATTGCCTCCCGAGACGGAGGGAGTACCGCCAGAGGGACCTATCGAGGCGCGGGCTCCCCCTGCTGAGTTCGCGGAATTGTCTCCGGGGGTCGCGGAAAGAGGAGAATGGGCTTGTTGATTGTGTGGAGAATAAGCAGAGGCAGCGCGGTCGGGTGGCAGAGGAACGGCTGCTTGGGTCAAATAGTGCAGGTCGCTAACCTGCGACTCGATCTGGTCCATTGCATTGCGAGGCACCCGCGGCCGGTTTCCTCTGGTCTGCTATGCTTTTCGTGAGCCGACAGTCGAGTCGCGATCCAGGAGATGGAGACAAGCGAGTAATGGTGATTTTTTGCCTGCGCCCCCCCTTGCCCGCCCAGTCCAGCCCAGGTTCAGTCAGCCAGGTGCCTCCTCCAGCGGGCTTAGCGGTAGCCTCACTGATTCCGCTGCGACGGTGCACGTGACCGGCCCGGATCCCGGCCCCCCGTCGCATCCGGCCCAGCACTTGGCTGGGAGAGCCCACTGTAATTGATATCGTCGGCGACTGATTGGGCGCTATTCTTGATATCCCGGTCAAGTCGCGATGCGTGTCGCACTGTGACAAACACCACCTACGGTTTGCGATTAGCCATCGCACGCCGCAAAGCTTGCACACTGTACACTGCAGATCTTGAAGACGGCATTGACATCATCTTTGGACTCTGGGTCTGTGACTGAGTCAAGACGAGGAAGCGCGCAGAATTGCGCGATGTGATTATTACCTGACCCAAGGGTGTGATCTTCTCCCCAGTACCAGCACGCGTACTGGAGATTTCGGGGCAAAAGTGACCTCCGACGATGACTAACGGCCTTATGCAATTTTGGATTAATGACAGAAGTACCCTTTTTACCACCGAGTCAGCATCTTAACCCAATCCAGCGAGGGATACACTCACCGCCTTCGTAGCCAGGGTCCCTAGACGGGGCTACTGCTGTGCCTTACTAGATTGCTGCAAACTTTGCCTATATCATAGCCCTCTCCATACGACGAAAAAGCCCCAAGTCAGACCCTCTCGCGATGACCCTAAGTACCTCTACCAATGACTAGCAGGCCGACGAGGGCTTGAAAGTTTGGGATGGCATTATGGTTGCGATGCCCGTTGTCGACGAGAGTTCCGAATCCGATGAAGAAGAAATCCAGGAGATCGAGCCAGCGCCTGTCGAGCTACCTAAACCAAGATCGAGGAAGAGGAAGAGAACATCTGTTGCCGACGACGACGACCCTCTGCCCATAACCAAGTCTGAGAGATCAAAAAGTAAGGGCTTGTAGATACACTAGTTAATTTATTAAACAGCAGTATTTATACAGGAACTCCTGTACGCATACTAGGACAAGAAGCTGAATATCGATAAGCCTCAAGCCCTGAAGCCAGTGTGGGTAGAGATCGCAAGGAACCTCACTAACAGCAGCATCTTCAACTATACCATGACGCCAGATCAGGTGTATAACAAGTTCTGTACTAAAAAAAAGAGGTTCTCTCTATGGGCGTAAGTGGCGCTGAGGTCGGGCAATACCTTCGACGAGGCTACCAGTGTGGCGTACTGCAATAATGATAAAAAGAGGTCTTTTTTAGCTGATAACCCCAAGTTGGCGTGGATCTGGAACGTCAGGTTAGGTCAGCCTCAGCCGTACTTAGAGATATGGAACAGAGGCCTAGGGACTAGCAATAATATACATACCACAGCAGAGATTATGCAGGCGAGGGACTCTAACGCAGAGGACAACGTCGTCGAGAGTAGCGAGAGTAGTTATGAGGAGGAAGTTAACGACTTGGGCGAGGAGGAGTACAACGTCGTTAATAGTACGCCTAGCCTGCCCGCCTCGTCAACGCCGCAAAGTAACCGCCTCGCGTTAAGTACGCTATCTCGCGCGCCCTCACTTCGACGTTCAATATCCCAAACGCCGCTGCGCTCGTTCGATATATCAAGACCGCAAAAACGCAGCAAGATCATCACGAACGCCAAGAGCCAGGTTTATATGGGTCAAAGTATTCAACTAGCGAGAGAGAGAAGGCAGATGAAGTCGGAGGAGACGGTGGAGGGCGAGCTGGCGATCGATATAGCCCTCGCCGACCTCAAAGCGAATTTTCGCAGCGAGTTGACGGCGGCGCAGTACGTGGCGGTCATGAGGGAGCTGTCGTCAAAGCCGCAAAACT